TTTTTCTCACAAAGGTCTACAGATGTAAGTATTCAGTAGTGCTGTTGGCCTTGGAGTGGCTGTGCCTTACCTTGGATTTTCTTTTTTTTTTTTCGCTAAACCTCTATTATACTGTAACCTCAGGTTTATTGGAGCAAAATAGCCATTATGTTTGGGTCTGTTTTGGCATCAACAGATAAACAACAATTTACTTCAAGTCTCTTTATGGTTTTATTTCTTAATCTCCAAAGTACTGAATTTACCACTGGGGTTGTTTCATAGCCTAATTTCTTATTCTTTCCCTTTTATATCTACTGTTGGACCTGAGAAATATATCATCAAAATTACTTGAACTTGACAGTGTCATGTGGATAAATTTTCCCTTCTTTATAAACGATACAGGTTCTCTTTAAAAAATAGTTGGATTCACTGAGGTGAGGAGGGGTTAGTTTTGTTTTTTGGGTTTTTTTGTTTGGTTTTGGGCTTTTCTTTCTTTCTTTCTTTCTTTCTTTCTTTCTTTTTTTTTTTTACTTTTTGTTGAGGCAATCTGAGGTGGGATTCAAACCCAGGACTTCCTTCTGCAAAGTCTAGTACTCTGTCTGCTCCCTCATACTTCCTCTGGAGGTCTTCAAGTAAAGGCTGAATGACAGAGATGCTGTAGATAGGATTTATTACTATTATTTTTTGTGAGGCAATTGGGGTTAAGTGACTTGCCCAGGGTCACGCAGCTAGTGTCAAGTTCTGAGGCCATATTTAAACTCTATCCACTGTGCCACCTAGCTGCCCTGAAGGGTTTGTTTTTTGTGTTGGCTTCTTTATAAATTGTTTTTTAAAAAGTTTTTCTATGTGGTTTCATTTAACATTGATTCTAAATTACCTAGAAATTACCTGTAATAGATCCTTGATGGTCATCTTCTAATTTGAGGAAAGGGGAACAGATAAATGTCTGGGTCATCCCAGTAGAGCCATACAATTTCATTGCTTTTTGATCACAGGATTCAGGGAGTGCAAGTGAAGGTTTAGCATTGGCCTGGGCTTAAGTATATTCAATAGGAATGAATGTGTGACCAAGTAAGAATTCTCATGAAAACCAAAAATATTGACCTTTGTGCAACCTGGTACCTTTTGTAATCTGTTCTTTCATCCCACATATATAGAGTCCCTGTACATGCAGATTTTGGCTTGGTCGCTAAGGTGGTTACAAAAGAAAAATGGGATGTCTCATCTGGAGCCGTAGTAGGAGCAAAAGACATAGACAAGAAAGTATATTTCAGAATATATGAATTTCTTTTTTTTTTGTTTGGGGGAAAGTGAGTGTCATCAGGGAAGGTTTAATGGAGGCAAATGTATTTGAATTAGGTCTGAAAGTGGGCCAGAAATTGGACAGTAGATGCTGGTGGTAAAGTAGAGGGGGAGTAACAGATCCAAAGAAGAACATAAGTTGAAAGAATGGAGATGGGTAATCCTGGCACATATTAGGGAATAATAGGTAATCTTACTTGACTGAATAATCGTGTATGAATGGAAGTGGTAGACATGGTTGGAAAATTAGATCAGTGCCAAATTGTTAAAAACCCTTTGATACAGTTGTTTGGATTTTATTTAGTTGGCAGAACCTTATTGAAGGTTTTTGACCTAATCATCGGTGCTTTGGGAAAGTTAGTTAGACTGTAGTGTGTAAGATAAGTTGAAAGGGGGAAGGAGTCTTCTGTAATTTCAGGAGAGCCATGACTGCTGCAGAATAAGTCTTCTACTCCTTAACCAGGTTTCTATACCACTCTGCACACCTGCTGTTCCAAACCTTCTCTCTTAAAGCATCCAGTAGTACTCCCTCCCTAAATCTTCTTAGCTGGAGACCTTCAACATTTCACCCTGCAAACACCGTCCCCCCTCCCCAATTTTTTTCTGAGGCTGTTTTCAATGAGCTGTTTGATTTTTTTTTTCCTTGTCTCAGTGTCCCTGAATATATTCTCTTCTATGTCATTTGCTCCAATCTATGAGGAATTGGTGGCCGTTTGGCTTGCCAAGGCAGACATCCAACATATGCACTTCTGATCTCAACCCCTCCTTCTTCTGTAATAGATTATCCCTCTCTTTCTGTAATCTTCATATCTCTACTCTTCACTGTTTCCTTCCTTTGCTCACCAAGTTGCCCCATCCTTAAAAAGCCCTCGTTAGAAAGCTGTCATTATTATATCTCTTTACCCTTCATCTAGACTCTGCTTCCACTTCCTCTTCTCTGTGTCTTCCACACCGGAAAATTGGTGTTTCGCTTTATTATTAATCAATCTTGATCCTAGCGTGTTTCTCCCATGTTAGAATGTTAGCTCCCTGAGGGCAGGTGACCTTGCCTTTATTTACATTCTATGGGTTTAGTATATTTCTTGGCACATAATAACTACTTTATAAATGTTGATTGATTTGACCTTTCTTCAACATTTGGTGCTTTTGACCACGTACCTACTCTTTTCATTTTTTCTTTGTATCCTCAGTGCTTTAACAAAGTAGCTGATTTAGTGAACACTTTTAAATGCTTGTTGATTGGTTGATCCTGTACTTTTGTAATCCACCACTTCTTTAGGAGGAAGGAAGGAATTATGTTTTGTTTCTTTAAAACTTTGGTGATTGCACTGACTTGCATTAGATACTTCTTCGTATTATTTTGTTTTACCTTATTATCACTGTGCATATTCCTCTCATTGTTTTGCTTTTCTTTGCTCAGCATCAGTTTTTGCAAGGCTCACCATATTTTCTGGATCATTCATAATGAGAAATTTAGGTCCTATAAATTGATGTGTTCAGTTTCAGCCTTCTTTTATTCATTCTTCTAACAAAATAATAAAGCAATGGTAGAAAATGAATTTGCTTGGAAATTTTGGGGTACTGTTTTTAAAAGTATGTGTTTAATGAAAATAATGCACCTCCTGTAAATAGACTCTGATTGTCTCAGGTAAAGTAAACAAGGGATAGGTAGAGTAGTTTATTGTAACTTGTTTCTTTGAATTTATGAACCATGAGAGGACTTGACAATGAAGAATGTCAGATTTGTACTGTTTCAGTATTGGTTCTTGTGGTGATATTTTTAAATCTGAGGATTCCCTAGTCTTTCTTCTATGGCTAATAGAGAAAATGTGTAAGCAGAGTTTTTTAATTTGACCGTTAGTATAGCAGCCCAGAACAATCAGAAAGTTTCAAGGTAGTCTTAGGTATAAGAGAAGGATTCAGTAAGCATAGAAATGTTAAAGGAGTGTATTTGAGATAAGGGACCACAGCTGGTAAAAGAGTGCAAGTGAGATTTAGGTGGACTTGTGGGTTTGGGTTTTTTTTTGTTTGTTTGTTTTTTTGGTTTCTTTGTTTTTTGTTTTGTTTTGGGTTTGTTTTTCATTAAAGTTTTCAACTTTAAAATATCTTCCTTTTGATTACTGAGGTTATCACTGCATTCATATTAAACACGCTATGCACATAATTGGTTCTCATGATAGAGTGACAAAGATACTCATTAGGCATTTCTTTGCTGATACACCCAAAGACCAGGGACTTTTCCATCTGACTTGTAGCTGAAACCTTACATATATGTTATCTCCCTCTGTTAGAATGTGAACTCCAGGAGAGCAGGAACTGTCTTTTCTGTTTTTATCCATTTTCTATTTGTATCAGTGCTTTGCACTTAGTAGGCACTTAATAAATGCTGAGTTGATTCATTTAGTGTTGTGCCTGTTAATTTATACAAATTACTGTCTTTAAAAATAACATAGTAGAAAGTAATGAGAAAAATAGCATAGTATAGTTAACAAAGAGCCTCCTCAGTCAGGAAGACAGGTTGAAGTCCAACCATGTCACATATTGTCTGGATGACAAAGAACAAGCTACTTACTGCTCCTAGCAATTCTCTAAATATCATACATTGCAGAAGTTGCAGTTGCAGAAGTTAGCAATATGCAGTTGTGGAGGGAGTTTCTCATTTCTAATAATTTGAATGAGTAATTCTCAAATTTTTTTTTATCTTTGTGCTTTATTCTTTATAATGAAGTATCATGGCCCATTAAAAATTCAAATTGGTTACATTGTGGAGAGTTGTCAGGAGACTCTCATATGACTCACTCTGTCTGCCTTCAGTAAGAGCAACCATTTTTGTTGAGCTCTTTATGAGTTCAAGGTCTGTCTATACATTAGAATGTACACCTAATAAACAAGATGATTTTGCCATTATATGTACTTGGTAAGTAAGATATATATCAGATTTTATAGGGCTTTTTTTTTAAAAATCTCTGAAGTAACAGTCAATTTTGTGACACACCTAGTAAAAAATTGTGGCATGTCCTTTGAGAATCACTGCTACATCAATGAAATCAGTTTCAGAACTGTTTCCATCCCCCTTCAAAAGTAATTAAAATTTAAGATTCCAAAAATATGTAGAGAAAAATCTAATCCATTTTAATTAATAGAAGTCCTTTTTTAGGACTCTTAATACCTCCTTTTATTTGGCCATTTAGACTAGGGCCAGCCAAGGTCATAAGTTTTCTTTCTCTATGACCATGTCACTTCATACAGAGATAATGAATCTCTGTTCCTCATTCGCGGACTGGACCCTCTAATCACAGTTAACTGTTCCACAGATGCATGTTCTTAATGGGTCACAAAGGTGGTGAGTATGGATCACTCTGTTCATCCCATTACTCATTCAGATCCAAGGTGACAATGGATCAAATCTGTTGCATAACCTTTACATATAATAGAATATATAGAGGCAAAACAATATGTATATGTAATAGCACCTTAGCTTGAAGAAAAAGCGACAAAAAGTCTGGCTAGTTCACTTGCTTTTATGCTGTGGAAAAAACCTATAGTGCTTAGGTTGTTGAGATTTAAAGGAAATGGCTTAAAAACTTTGGACAGTTGCCCTTTTATTTTCAGGGAAACTTTGTTTTCTCGTTTGTTCTTGAGGTTTTTTTTTATTATTAAACCTCACATTTTCACATAGACCCAATATAATATCTTCAACTTTCCTTTTTTCTTAATAGGTAGAAAGAATTGTTGACAAGAGGAAAAACAAGAAAGGAAAAACAGAATATTTGGTTCGATGGAAAGGCTATGACAGCGAAGATGACACTTGGGAACCTGAACAGCATCTTGTGAATTGTGAGGAATATATACATGACTTTAACAGGCGTCACAACGAAAAACAAAAGGAAAGCACATTAACCAGAACAAATAGGACCTCTCCAAACAACGCTAGGAAACAGATTTCCAGATCTACCAATAGCAGTTTTTCAAAAACAGCTCCCAAATCACTTGTTATTGGGAAAGACCACGATTCAAAAAATAATCAATTATTTAATGCCAGCCAGAAGTTTAGGAAAAACACATCACCATCTCTCTCAACCCGAAAAAATATGGACCTTGCAAAATCTGGTATTAAAATTCTGGTCCCCAAGAGTCCTATTAAGAGTAGGACAGCAGTAGATGGCTTTCAGAATGAAAGCCCGGACAAATTGGATCATATTGAACAAGATCAAGAAGATTCTGTGGCCCCTGAAGTGGCAGCAGAAAAACCAGTTGGAGCTTTATTGGGTCCTGGTGCAGAAAGAGCTAGAATGGGAAGCAGGCCAAGAATACACCCATTAGTGCCTCAGCTGCCTGTCCCTGTGACAGCCACAATTGCCCCGGGATTAGCGATCAATGGGAAAGGTAAGTGTTCCTTAAAGAGATACTCGGCTCTTCATTCAGTAGATTATGCTTCTGTTTAAAGAGTATCTATCCTATTAAAAAAAAAAGAGTGTAAATATGGGAGGTGGAGGTGGGCTTGTACTTCCTTTAAGTAAAAGGTAGCTGCTGGATTGTGTGTTTTTAAGATTTTTGCTGTCTTCAGGTAGCATTACTGAAAACTCTCGGCATTTATTTTAAGCTTTCATTATAAACATAAGATATATCTGTTTTACTTGATATTCAGTGTACAGTTCCAAAATATTCTGTCATAACTTTGAATTACTTTAATATCATATTCTAAATATGTCATAAACAAAATGCCTTGAATGTTAGGAGTATGTGATGGAGATAATCACAAGATTTAAAGTAGTCTTTCCTTCTCCACCCTATTTCTTGACATTATACATCTATGATACTGAGAGATGGTTTATGTAAATTTATCCAAGTCACCTAAGCCTAAGGATGATTGATAGTGATGCAACTTGTTTCTTTAGATGCTAGTCCATTGGAATAACCTACCTTTTTGAGTAAGGTAAAGTTTTGAGTAAAGTAAGTTTACCTTATAGTGCCTCGGGGCATTTCTGTTATTTTTGAGCAGGTAAAATAATCCCTCTGTTAGGAAATCGCAATGTGATAAGCCAAGCAGGGAAAGAGTACTGAATTTGGAATGAAGAGGACCTAGACTTCAGTCCTGACTCTTCCACTTTGTGCCTGTAACCTTGGGCAAAGCACTTGATTTCTCTGTCCCTCATTTTGCTCATATATAAAATGACATGGTGGAACTAGATAACCTTGCCCCTTAGGCTTAAGGCTGTTCAGGCCTTAGGCAAATAAATAGTTTTTAAAGAACACATTTTAAACTTTCATTTATTTAAGTGTACAAATTTGGAAAATTTAGTTTAAATTCATCTTTAAAGGTATACCCTTTAGATTTTTTGGCATTGTGTCATAGTCGTTGTAAAGACTTTACTGTTCCTTGCACATTAACATATTTCAGTTACAACACAAGGAACCCAAGAAGAATTAATCTCTTTTCATAAAAAAAGATAAAATGTTTTTGGCTTAGCTCCCCTATGATTGATTAATAATTACTTAAATATGTGCCATTTGGGGATTGTAATACACTTTGAAAGCCTGAAGCAAATGGGGTAAATGATTTTTCGTGTTCATTATTTGTACTAAGAGGCAAGAGAGTATTGGAATTGGAGCCAGAAAGACTTGGCTTCATAGCTCACATGTAATAGTGCCTTTGTGACCATAGTCCAGTCATGTAACATTTCTGAGCTGGTCTCTATAACTCGATTACAAAATTCCATAATAATAATTAAATAATATATTAGATAATCTGATTACATTGGAGGGAATCTGAACTCTTTAAATGTTGAATCCTTGAATAAATGTTACTTTATTAGTACTGTACAAGCAGCCTATTTTACTTTCATCAGGTTAGTCACATGGATTTAATATTTTGTATATATGTGTGCATATATGTTATATATGCAATAATTCTATTTTTGCTTTCAATGATATTCTGATTTAGTAAACTAAAGAAACCATTACATAGGCCTACGAAATTTTAAGTGTATAAACCAATCATGTTGATGTTGTACCAATTAAAAATTCTTTAGTGTTGAAAAACAACATTTTACTCCCATTCTCTGAGCAGTTATTAATACATAAGGAAAACATCAAAAGCAGGAGTCTTAAATCATTGCTTATGCATATAAAATGTATAGATGCAAACATTTTAATAGTGTTTGAAGGTATCTAAAATAGAGAGGTCCTAATTTACAATGTAAAGCCATTAAACATATCAATTTTGGTATACACAGGTATTTTCAGATTTGTTAAAATGTATTTTTTTAATAAGCATATTTTAATTACATGATATTTTATGGAACAGAAAACACTGTATTCCCTCATTAAGTTTTTTTTTTAATGTTAGTGCTAGTTAGTTTAAATAACACTAATATTTTTAGTTAAAAAGGAATTTTAGTTGATCATTTCTTTGAATCCGGTGTTGGGAGTATAAATCTCTTCCTTTTAGAAATTTGAAGAAAATTCAGGATTTCATTCATTTGAATGAGGAAAGGGGTTAACCATTATCTGGGATCTGATGACCTTCATTATTTTCTGGAACCATGACTTTTTTTTTTCTTTTACATCATTGTCTCTTGCCAGTGACCTATTCTTACTTCCTTCCTTAATTAACCCTACCCTACCTTATAAGAAATTCGGATACTCAAGCAAAAGTAATCAATGAATTAGGCTTTAGTAGTCCGTATGGAAACATAGCATTCTCCTCAAACTGATATACTTCTACAGATTTCTTTTTTTCTAAATACATTGTTTTGTTATTCTTAGGAAGGCTTACTCTTATTTCAGTCTTTTTGGTTCTTTAGCAGTCTTTCATGACTTTAAACTTAACCAGTTTGATGTTTTCATAACATCATGGGGGCTGGGGAAGGCTATGATTTTATCTCTTGGAGTATTAAGCATGTGTAAACTCCCTCCAACAAAATCTAATTCAACAGGTTTTTGTAACTTACAATCTTTGAAGGTTGCTTTGTGCAATAAGAGTTTTAAGTTCCTTTCCCAGTGTCATAGGTAATTGTGTCAGAGAGGACTTGAACCTAGTTATTCTAAATCTTAATACCCCAATTGTCTACTACCTTTGTTGTTTCTTTCAGCAGTAAATATTAATGATAAAATAATTGCAACCTTTCCAATGCAAGGTGTGCCCTTAGCTCTCTAAGAAAAGATTCTTTTAATTCCTTTTTCTTCCTCACTTTTTTTTAAAAGTTAGATTTTATAGCTGTTTTCTGTTTTCTTAGGTAAATAGTCAAACTGTGTCTGTCCGTCTCCAATCTCCCTCCCAGAAAAAGTACCATCCAATATGAGAAAGCATTGTTTAGAGAGAGGAAAAAAAACAGTGCAATTGATGATTACATTGAAAAAGTTGAAAATATGTGCAGTGTTTAACATTTGTAGACCTTCTACTTTCATGAAGCAGTACAGGTTAGGGAAGTCATCTTACATCTCTTCATTTGAGTCCTGCTTGATCTTCATAATTTTTATACATTTACTTATTTTTTTGTGGGTATTTTGTTCTTGCCATTTATATTGTTGTTACTATGTCTTTTCTTGTTTCTGCTTATTTCACTGTGTATCAGTTCAAATAGATTCCATGTTTCTCTGTATTCATCATGCATATTAATTCATCATGCTTATTATTTCTTGCAGCACAATAATATTCCATTCCCTTTATGTACCATTATTTCTTTAGCCATTGCCCAGTGTTTGGGCATCAACTTTGTTTCTAGTTCTCAGCGATAACAAATGTTTGTAATATATAAATAACAACTAATATTTAATAAATTTGATGTAAATTTATAAATCTAAAGATTTTGGAAGAAATGGGAAGTTTTTATCAGTATTTTCCTTGGATATAAGCCCAATAATGGAGTCTTGGGTTCAAAGGATATGAGCATTTTGATCACTTCATTTTCATAATTCCAAATTGCTTTCCAAAATAATCATACCATTTTATATTTCCACTAACAATGTAGTAGTGTGCCTCTCCTTCCATAATCCTTCAAACATTTACTATTGTCTACTTTATCCTTTTTTTTTTCCATTTTGCAGAGTAATATGATAAAATCTCAGGATCGTTTTGATATGCATTCCTCTTAATTTTGGGGATTTCTCTCATGTTGTTGTGAATACTTTGTAGTTCTTTTGAGAACTGTTTTTTCATATCCTTTAATCACTTAACTATTGGGGAATGGCTTTCAGCCTCTTAGCCAAACCTTTGTCAGAGAAATTTGATAGAAATTTTTTTCTCCCATTTGACCATTCTTATCCTCTGTGCATTAATTTTCTCCTTGAAGAAGCTTTTAAATTTCAAATAAACAAGACTTTTAAATTTCAAAGTTATCTATTTTATCTTTTGTTATTGCCTGTATCTTTTGTTTTTTAAGAATACATCTCCTACCCATAGCTGAGAGAGGTATATGATCTCCTCTTCTTTTTTCAATAGTATGATCTTTAACATTAAGGTTACATATCCATTTAGAGTATATTGTGGGAAATGGTGTGAAGTGTTGATCTAAGTCTAATTTCTACCAGATTGCTTTCAAGTTTTCCCAGTTTTTATCAAATGTAGAGTGTTTTTTTTTTTCCCTAAGTAATTTATGTTTTCCACTTTAAAGACTGGGTTTTTGAGTTTCTATTGTTTCTGAATTTCCTTTGTCTAATCTTTTCTATTACTCTATGTTTCTACTCTTTAAAACAATACCAGATAGTTTGATGATTGCTCCTTTACATCATAGTTTGCGGTCTTGAAGTGCCATTCCCCTTTGTCTGTCTTTTGTTTTTCCAAGTGAATCTTGTTATTTTATCATGTTTATTAAAGTATCCTCTTGGTATAGCATTAAAAGTATAAATTAATTTTGGTAGTATTGTCATTTTTATTCTGTTGGCATGCAAATGTTAGCTATTATTATTATTCTAGATTATTATAGATAATATAGCAAACCTTGAAGCTACAAAATAAATCCTCCAAAATCATATTATCTCTATATAATAATAAATCACAAGAAGCAATAATAGAAAAAGAAATTCAATTCCAGATAACTCCAAAATGCATGAAGTACCTGGGTTTCAGCCTCCCAAAGTGCATAAAAACCTTGTATATATTACATTTAAAAGTGCTCCTTAAAGAAATAAAGAACTTAAATAGCCGAAGTTATTATCTGTAATAATAATAGCTAACATTCATATATAGTACTTACTTTGCAATAGGCACTGTGTGAAGCGTTTTACAATTATTATCTCATTTGATTCGCACAACAGCCCTGGGAGGTAGGTACTATTATCATGCCCATTTTTTAGATTAGGAAACTGAGGGAAACGGAGACTTGCCCAGGATCACCTGGCTAGTAAATATCTAAGACTCAATTTGAATCCAGGTCTTCCTGTCT